TTTTTTTTTTTTTTTTTGGTTTTTGTTTTATTCAGAATTATAAAGTGAATTATTGATTTCTCATATTCGCGTTTAAACTATTGCCTAGCAGCTCTTTGCGTTCCTACTAATAATTCACTCAATATTATAATTACGGAGTGGAGATTCTTACACCAAGGATAGTTGTTAGTTAAGTTCTCATTCTAACCAAGGGGCCAATTCACCAACATATTTTGTGACATAATTCTGGTCAAGACCTAAGTACCAATTGCACAATTAGCTACAATGATTTCTACCCTTTAGTGAGTTAATCACGAATATGCATAGCTTGTCTTTGTCATTGGGATTTGTTATCCAAGAGAACACATTGATGAATGTAGCTGGAAGCTTCCTCGATTTACTGATATGTCGTAATTGGGGGAGGTTGTTGTGTCAAACAGATACATAGCCACCACCATAGGGATTCTAATGAAAGATATTTTAAAGTTTGAAAACCCCAATCTGCTCTTACTTATTTTAGCTGATTGAATTGTGTTTTGCTTCTTTCTGTATGTGGACTGAATTTTTCTTATGCAAACTGACCTTTTTTTTTCTTTTCTTTTATATGGTTCATTGTTGCAGAGCTGATGCTTTTAATTGCACATGTTTGTCGTTATCTGAGCTTTGTTATTGATGATAGATGCTGGTAACTTCTAATCTAGTTTAAAGCCTGAGAAATATCACTTTATGTATGCTAATACATGTCTTGTCCATTCACGCAAGAAGGAACTACGCACGGGTTTTGGTGGAGTTGGACCTTTCAAAGGAGCGGACCCTTAGTGTTCCCGTCAAATCCTTCCTTCCTTTTTCCCACTTTGAGATACTTGCTCATGAGAATTAAATCCCAGACAACAAAATTAGTGTTAAGCCGTGGAGATTTTATTATTTTTTTTTATTATTTTTTTTATTATTTTTTATTTTTTTATCTATTGTTGTCACCAATGTGAACCCAAATTATTGAAAATCACAGTTTGTGCGTTATATCTGTTCTTATTCGTATTAGGGTCTTTTTTTGTCAGTGAACTAGAAAATGTGATTGCCTCACTTCAGTTTCTGTAGTGTATCGTGTGTTGCTCAGTCTGCGGACATTAGAATATATTCTGCCCTTTTTCAACTTTATTAAGTATTGAAAAGCACAATGAAATCAATATTTTATCGACTAATGTTGGCTGTGTATTTCAGACTTGGCACAATGTGAACCCACGGTGGATCTCACGTCTGAGCAGGTCTGTTTATTATATCTTCTCTCTCTCACGCACACACTGATCTCTTATTTTATGCTTTCATATTTTATTATCCGGGCAGAGATCTTCTGAACCGGCTGAAAGCAATGCAACACTACGCCCTCCGTCCTTTATGGAAGCTTTGAATAACTCTATTAAGAAATCCCCTCTCGATCAAAACCATGGTCCCACTTCTCATTTGTTATTGTCGAGAACTTCTCGTCATACATTGGGCCGCCATTATTCCAGACGAAACTTGAATATCACTTCCGACGCATCCCCTTCCAACTCCAAGGGCCCTCCTCCATATGATCATAAGTTGTCATTCATTCTAGACAGACAGGACATTTCAGACTCCCCATATAGTGGTACACTCTTTACTTTTCAATTTTTATATCCTCATATACCAACCATGTTCTACGTATGAACAGACATCATGTGGTTGGAATGGATACACTTTCCATTTCTCAAATTCTCTTCTGTTTTGGAGATTAGTGATGTAAGTCTTATAAAAAAGGATTGATGAATCCTTGGGCATGCGACTGGATACACTTTCCATTTTGAAAGTTGCTCCAAAGTAAAATAGTAAAATAATGATTTGGCTGTTAGAACTATGACTATGAGTGCGTAAATAGTGAAATTTGTAAAAAAAAAAAAAGATAAGAAGGATTAATGATTTTTCTTGTAGAAAAATGATTATTTGAAGTGATCTTTAGGGAAAAAGGTTTTCTTCCATTCTCAAAACCTGAGAGTAGTAAAAAATTCCATTCTCAAAGGATGCCTGGCTCACCCACGATATTATGTAGAACCTCGGAAAATAATTTCTGAAACGCACATATGTTTGAATATTTTCTCACGTTTTTTTTTTGTTAATAATTTTAGTGAGTTTTAATAGTTATTATTGGCACGAAATGATATATATTTTTAATTTCAGACAGCCGAGGCCGAATATTCGTGAAACCTGAGAGGATAAGGTCGAACTCATTTGCTCAGAATGGGGAATTGCGTAAAATGGAGTGTAGGTTATGTAACAAGCGTCTAAGGAAGCATCCCTTTGTGATCGATAATTCAATCTCGTCCAGTGATCTTTCTGTTGTGGCAGTTTTAGTGTGTGGCCACGCTTATCATGCAGACTGCCTGGACCAGAAAACTGATCAGGAAGAAAAGCACGACCCTACTTGCCCGCTTTGTGTATGCCGGACATAATAGGCGGTAAAAAGCTTGATATGAAAAATTTGCGTGCGTTTGCAGGCTTTTGTTTCAAGCTTGAGCTGGAAAGCAATCAATTAGATATGATTTTAAGGTCGAAATGCACTTAGCAGCGGCACATTAATTAGGTTTTGATGATGTTGTGTGCTTTAGATATGAGTTTCAATGGTATTATGTTTTTTAGATATGATAAGGCCTTGAAAGGTTCATTAGGTGTGTAAACTTGTAATATTTTTGTGCTTTGTTGCCTTTGTATGCTTATTTATGCTTGCCTTTCATGATCGACTATATGGAGCTCTGGACAATGGTGTCCGCTTATTTCAATGTGTCTTTTCCATTATTTTTTGGTTTTGTTTTTATTTTATTTTTCTCGTACACTTAAAAAAGTGGAATTTGTGATGATGGATGAGTAATTTTTAAAAAAATTGAGCTACATGTGGGAAAATTTTGATTTGAGATGAGATTTTAATAATTGAATTTCAAATTGCTATGCATAATCGAACTCAAAATTTGTAAGTAAAACAAGAGCAATTAGACCTACATTTCAAGCAGTCTATCACAGTCACGGACGTGCGAATGACAAACAAAGATTAGAAACAATAGTTGAATGTCTAACAGGTAGATAGACATCTATCCCTCCTAATGTTTAGAGTAGTGCGAAAAATTTGCTACAATGTTACACTATATTTTCGCATTACTTTGAAAATGTGAACAATATTATGCTACATGCATTGCAGTACTATTCATCTCGCTACAACTTTTCTTTCAAATTTTAGTTTCTTAATTGATTTTTATTTCTAAAATATTATTTTGATAAAATATACATCAATAAAATTATTTATTTTGTTAAATAGTCTAAAATTTTGATTCTATAGTTGTATTTAAATTTCATTTTGTACGAGTACATTTCAAGAAGAGTATGTAATGCGAACGACAGAAGACAAAAATTAAATTTTGGCATTCTCTACTCCTGCCTAGAGATTGGAGAGGTTGCAAGCCACTGCACCATCTTCTGACGTCCCAGCTGCCGCCTTTCTAGCACCATCGCTCTAGAGCTGTTGTTTGACTGAAACCCATCTCCCCTTGGTTTAAGTTGAACACTGAAGGATCTTTCGACCGACTCACCGGAGTAGCCGTAGACGGGGGCCTAATTAGGGATCACAGCGGAGCTCTCATTACCACCTTGCATGCTCCTCTTCAGGCATTCTCGAGCTACGATGGGAGGTTCAGACACTCCAGATTGTTCTTCAGATTGCAGGTTCTATCTCTTCTCAGCGCTCGTTTTCTTGATTTCCAGTTTTGATGTATATACTTTTCTTGTATTATGTATATATGTCCAGTTTTTTATTTCCGAGGACGGAAATATTTTAAGGAGGGTAGATTGTAATAACCCAGTGTATTATTAATATACGCGATGTATTTTCATAATGTTCGTTATAGTTTCCAGTCAATAAATTCGATTTTACGTCGAAAAGTCTATTTGGTTATTTATTAACCAAGATTATTTTGATAATTAATTTCCGAACTGTTTATTTTATAACCGGACATTATTAATCGGGATTAATTATTATAAGTCATTAATGTTCGAATTTAATTTTGAAATCGAGTTCATGTTTAAGTCTCGGAAGTGCATGTCATAGTTTGCACGCACGCCGTGCGTTGCCGTGCGTGTATGCGCGCGCAACCGTGCGTAGTGCACGTTTGATACGGAAGTGGGTATTGACCCCGATGAAGAGAAAGGCCGAGGGCCGAGGCTAATGGACAAGGCCAAGCAAAGGGCCGGAACAAGACTTGCATGGCCTAAAAGACGTGCACGAGCACGTATACGAGGGTGTCGACGTGCACTATGGCGCAGGAGGTCGAGCAAGAAGCTCAAGAGAGCGAGGCTTGAAGGCTCGGGT